ATATTTTAACCAACTGTGTCTTTATTTTAATAACAGACCAAGTACTGAAAACACATAAAGAAAGACTATTTTTCTACCTCAGCAAAAAATACAGCTGATACACTGCATGACCCTTCAGGAGTGACTGCTCTGTTTATTCTATTTACATGACATGATCTGATTGGAAAAGGGAGAGAGGGATGGAAATCAGCAAAAAAAACAGAAATTCATTTTTAACTATCATTCCTGAAAAAAAATCACCATCTTGCTTCTCTTGTTGTTCCTATTAAATTAGAGGTCTCTTCATCATTATGTATCAGAAACATGTAAAATCCAAGATTTCGCATTTCTTCCTAATCTCTACTGAACCATATCAAAATACAAAGCAACGTTTTCCAACTATTCTGCCACGGATAAAACAAAATGTATACACACACTGCTGGTTCCTGAACTAACAAGGATTTGCGGCTTTCAAGCTTCCGTATCCCAGTGCGCTTAATTCTTTCAAATAGCTACGTACTTCTTTCAGGCAGCAGGAAGATATTCTTCATCTAGGATCTGGGCAGGAATCTAAAACTTAACCTTTCACTTCACTCAGTTCCTAAGGACAAGAGAAACATGCTTCCTTACTCTGTTCAGGGTGCCATTTAGAGCTCAATGTCAACTAACCATTTAGAACAGAGGAGCAAATTTGATCAAGCTGTACTCTTCTGTTGGCACAGAAGTGGATTTTCTCTCTAGTAAAGTACTTTAAATCCTTGTAAAAAACATAAAAGGTAGCACGAACCCTACGATATTTTTGCAGAAATATGCAGAATGGATTTTGACAAACAGCTCTTTAGCCATTCTCAGTCGGTGTTTCTGTCACTCCAGAGATATATTAAAACTGATTTCTGACTCCACCTAAGCACACACGACCATGATATATCACAACTTCAGGGGGCTTACAGCAATTAGTAGCAGCGCTCCGAAGAGTCACTGCATCCACATTTCTGGTACATCTGACTTTGTACAAGCACAGCAACCACAGCTACTGATTAACAACCCAATCATACACTTTGGTTTGAATTGCCTGAAAGCTTTCCCCTCATTAATATTCTGTAAATTGAATCACAGTTTTTAACAGTTAAATGAATAAGAATATATTACTATCAGACTGCGTCAAACTAATTTAACCAGAAAATGTTTTGCAATCATTTCCTGCTCCAAATTTGAACATGCTCCCTTGGCTGTATTTTGGTTCTACATTTCTATTTCAGCAAAACCAAACTTCAGAAAAGCTCATTCTGCATACTGGCATTTTAAGTTGCATTCAGAGGCTTTTGATGCTTATTTTCTACACTCTTCAAAATCAGCACATACGTATATACATGCACATCCACTCTTACACAAACAGGTTCATGAACTGCAATCAACAATTTTGTAAATATAAGTTTCCTCGTCATTAATCATCCCTTTTTTTTTTTAATCCTTATGGAGTGAATTACCAACTGAGAGGAGACGCCAATTCTAGTAAGTGAATGTTACCCAACAGGGATATAAAGCTGTCAACACCATAGTGCTCTTGCTTGCTCTAAACTCTCTCCCAGACTTCATATGTTTTTTAAAGCGATATTAGCCTTTTTTCCCGGGGACCTTTCTAAAACCTGCCTCTCCTGAAAATTGGAGCACTTGTGCTTTATTACACACAGCTTTTAAAACAGACAGGTTAGGTAACTGTTGAAACATTTTAGAAAGCACTGGGTTAGTCAAGCAAACCAAAACCGGACTCTAACACATTGGACTGACGCTAACAACATTGTAAACAGCACCAAAACTTTTAAACCCTCAATTAAACACAACCTTTAAGACCTCGTTTATCTTTTTAGTGACCTTCACCAGTTTATTATAGCTGCTGTAATGGCCCTTGGAATTAAGTACATTCATGTTAGGAATAAAAAAAAAAAAAACAAACCAGGAGAGTCATAAGGCAAAATTTCTCATGAGAACAATTGATTTTCTGTCTGCACTACAAAAGCTTATTTGAAAACACATTTTCACTCATAAAACCAGAGAGAAAGCTAAAAACACCTACAGCACTATAGTATTTCTCTATTTCTCAGGGAAGTCACTAGAAAAATAATTGCAGCAAATACTACGATTATAAAACTGGTTACCAAAGGTCATCAGGCTCATCTTAGCACCAGTTAGTTTAGAGCTTATTGCTCTGCTCTCAGGAATTAACTTCAGAAACAGATATTATTACACCAAAAAGCCACCTGACAAATAAGAAGGAATTTCAGCATTTACAAATCTAAGGCCCAAAATGAGATGAAAAACAGAATTGCTAGCATTTGTCTTTGCTTTCAAAACCTTTAGATACACTTTATAGAATCAAAAATAAAACAAAAACTAAAGTGGTCTCTAGTTTTCAGTAAAGTATTTCCACTTTTGTCCCAAGCGAAATTCACATTCAATAAATATTAGCACTTTTTAAAGCTTGAGAAATAAGAATAAACTGAAAGTCTGACAATTGAAGCCTTAGACATCATTTCACTATGACTTTCAGTAGTTTCCTTTTAGTCAAATTCTACACACAATACTAGGAGAGCCTTCATTAATATTTATTTGAAAGAAGTTTTATACTAATTTGCCGGTATATTAAAAGTAAGCCTTCCCACAAACGTCTACAGCTGCATTTTACAACTCAAGTGAAAAAATTACTAACACCACAGCGATCACTGCAAAGATACAGACTTCCAAAAATACCCAAAACAGGTGAGATCTGCATTCAGGAAAAGATCACTTGGTCACACCAGTTCTTAAACATCAAACTTGAAAAACAGCAGAAGACAAAATATCTGGAAATTAGCTATGTTGATTTATTGTGAGAGTATTTCCAGGAGAAAAAAAAAATTAAATCAATTTTAAACAGCACCATTATCTTATTAAAAAAGTCTGCCTTAACTAATTTAGTATTGAGTATTATAGAACCTAGATAGGTATTCAGACAAGAATAATTTTCTTCTTGCTTTCAGTATCAATAAAGACTAATGAATAACCTTTATTATGAACAGCCTAAATGCAAAGAGATTGAGACCGTTTAAAGAACACCGGTTAAGAAAAAGAAAATATATTACTCCTGCATTTCTTAATCCCCCAGACTGTTACACTCCAGTCTATAACATCTTTACAAATGAGCTGAAGACTAATGAATGAAAACTTAAGCTCTTAAAAGTTTGCTTTCAGAAATGAAAGTCTCTTTCTGGAGTGGAAGAAATCTTCCATACCTTAACAGGCCAGATTCATGCTGAGCCACCGATATAACTATAAAATTTCTCTTGGGTAACACAGCTGCAACTAGAAAGCAACATATATGTTCCAAAACATTTAAAAACATTCTTTAAAAGTATATTTCTATAAATGCCCCAAGGAAAATAATTTCATCTTTCGTTCTAACATTTTCTTTAAGATCAAGCAGCTGTAATGCCTGAGTCTCAAGAAAGGCATCCAAAACTACACATATTACTTTTTATATGATTATCTAGTTCATTTTTACAATTATTCAACAAATTATTTCTCCATCAATTTGTAAGTGGAATAGTACTACAAGTCTTTCACTGTAAAGCTGTTTCTTCATTTTCCATACATTGGAAGAACACAGAGAAGAGATTTAAAAAATAGATATATAGTCATCCAAGAAACAGAAAAAAATGGTGAGCTCTCTTACCCTTCATTAGGTATATAAATGAATCCTACGTTTTTAAAATAAAATATGCAGCTCCTTAGCAAACTTCAGCAATTAGGAAGCCTATTGAGCCAAAGAGGTCTAAAACAGGCATCTAATGGTAAAATCGCTAAATAAACCTTCACGTAATAGAGAGTCATGTGACAACTGTATCAAAGTATCTCTTGAAACGCCATTTACACAAACTCTTTATGTATAAACAACTACAATTGTGTGTTACCACTCTGCTCATTTTAAAACATGAATACAGAGTTTTTTTGGGGGGTTGTGGGGTTTTTTTGAGGTAAAGGTAAAATTTGTGGCCTTTCCTGCAGTATTCTGCTCACAACATCTGACTAATTTCAAGATTTTTAAATATATTTTTCCTAACACGAGGTTGCACTGTGTTAAACACGACAGCATCAGAGTTAAGAGGAAAAAAGAGGGCATTTAGGAAAGGTGACTGTAAAGTTTATCCTGCCTGGAACAAAACGGGGGAAAAAACAACCATGAGTGTCGCTTAAAACATGCTTTAAACACAAAACTGAGCAGCAACTTAGAAGCAAATTATGAAAGATTAAGTATTCTAAAGAATTGCGGGAAAGCTGAAAAACTAATTTCAGTATATTTGCTGAATATATTCAGCACATGAATATATGTGCTGAACCTCGCACATGCTTTGCCCTGTCCTCTTTTACAACAATTGCTACAAAATGCTACTTACCGAAAGAAAAATAAAATCCCTAAATGCAAACATAAACGCTGCCGTTTTTCCCACCCTGGAGACCCCATTCTCAGCGTTGTGACGGTGGGTGTAACACACCTAACTCGTGTCACCCGCACCCGTGAAGGCAGCCGGGCTGCCCGCACCTAACCCGGGGGCGATGCCCTCTCCCCGCCGTGCCCTCCGGGAACGCCGGCGGGGCAAGGGGATGCCGGCGGCTGCCCCGGGGCAATCCGCACGAAGGAAACGCCGAGCGCAGGACACGCTCCCAGCCCGTCACCCTCCGACAGGATCAGGCCTGGCCCTTTGTGAGCCGCCCGGCCCGGGGTGGCCTCTTTCGGCAGGCGGCCTCCTAACGCGGGAGGGTTGCGCGCCGCACACCCGGTCCGAGCCCTCCCGCGGACCCTCGCCACCGCAGCAGTGCCGAGCAGCCAAACGCTTTCCCGGGAAAGGGGGCAACGGCCCTCCAGCTGCCGCACGGACCTGCCGGTCCCTCCGGCCCTGCCGACCCGCCCGCCACACGGTGCCCCGGGCCCGCCGCCCCGCGCGCCCCGGCCGGCGGGGCCGCCGTGAGCGCGGCCGCACGGTTACCTCCCACGGGCTTGGTGACGGCGCCGTTGGGCCTCCCGCGGGTGCCCATGGGGCTGCCGTTCTGCTCCAGCCTGGCCACCTTCCCGGGGGGGGGCCCTTTGACATCGGGGCTGCCGCTGCCTCTGTCGGGGCTGTCCCGCAGGCAGGGGCTCTCGCTCCTCCGCTCCATGCTCGGAGACGCGGCTCCCGCTGGCAGGTCGCAGTAGAAGGAGCACGGACCTAGGGGTGAGAGAAACAAGGGGCGCTTCAGTGGCCGCCGGCTCGCGCCGCCGCCCGGCACCGGGCCCCGCTCGCCTGCCCGGGCCCCCGCAGCGCGTCCCCCGGGCGGCCCAGCTCAGCCAAGCCGGGCGCAGTGCCGCCCCGCTCCCGCCGCCGGAGCCGGCCCCGCTGGAAGCGAGCGGTTCGCCTCACCCGCCCGGCCCCAACCTGCCGCGGGCGAGGGCAGCGCTGCGCCACGGTGCCCATCGCGCCCGACAGGCCGGCGGGCAGGAGCACCCCCGCCCGCCGCAGCCAGGTGCTGCGCCCCGGGTCCGGCCGCGGCCCTGGCCCGCCCCCGGGGGCCGCGGGGAAGAGGCTGCCAGTCCAGGCGGCCCCGCTGGCACGGCCCCCCCGCGCCAGCCAGCTGTGCAGCCACAGAGTAGCCGGCTGCTGGCGAGGAAGCCTCTAGCGAGCGGCTCCCGCGAGCTGCCGCTGTACTTACTGCTTATAGCCTGTCTGTAAGTTGGCTGAGTTGGGCTCTGTCCATGGATCAGAAGTAGAGAATCCAGGGTGGAAAGTTTTCTTGTTTCCTCCTCTTACGCCGCGTTCTTCCCTTCTACTCCTTCCCCCACCCCCAGCCCCCTCCTCGCCCTCCTCCGGGGGTGCCGGGGCGGCGGGGCCGGGGCGGCTGCCCGCGGGGCGGCAGGGGCAGAGCCCCTTCCCGGAGGGTCCCGGGTGGCGAGCGGAGCGGAGCGGGGAGGTCGGGACGAGGGGGCGGGGAGCCGCGGGGACGCTGGCTGCGGCGCGGAGGAGAGGGGAGAGGGAGACGACTTCTCACACCTTCAGCGGAGAAAATCAATACCGGGGGAGACGGGGGGAGGAGAAGAGGGAGCGCCGCTCTCCCGGGCTCCGCGGCGGCGGCGGGTGCCTGGCGGTGCGGGGAAGCGGCGGCGGCGGCCCCCGGTGTGTCACTTTCAATCGCTCCCTCCTCTGCCAGCCACAGCAGCGGCAGGAGGGACTCGCCACAGAGAGCGGAGAAACGATTATTAGTTGCGTTGAGTCATCAAGGCAAAGTGAGTCCTTTTTGGGGTTGTCCTTGGTTTCGGGTTTGGTGTGTGTGCACGCCTGTGTGTGTGTGTCTGCCTGTCTGTCTGCGCGGCGTTCCCGTCCCAGGGCTGTGCATCCCAAACATCGCCACCCCTCCTCGCCTTCGACACCCCTCCCCCTCCCCGCCCCCCCCGCAAAAATCAAGTCTCGGTGCTATCTCCGGATCGGGCGCAGACGGGCGCGCAGCAGCCCACCTCCTCCCGGCCCGGCCCGCCCCGCGGAGCCCCAGCCCCGGCCCCGCTGCGCGCAGGGGTGGGAGGCAGAGACCCACCTGGCAGGAAATTAAACACCAATAAATAAATAATACATCTCGCACGCGAAAAGGGAGCGCGGTGCCGCGCGAAGGGAGGGCGTGGGGCGGGCTGGGTGGGGAAGGGGAAGCGTGGCAGGACGAGGCATTGGTGACAGGAGAGATCCAGGGCAGAAAGGCGCAAGGACAGGGGCAGTCGGGCTGGGGGAGGGCCGAGGGGAAAGGAGAGGAGGAGGAGCCGGGAGAAGAAGGGGAAGGGAGGGGGGGGATAGTGGGGAAGCCGGAGTTGGGGACACCGGACCGACCGAGGAGGAGCAAAGCTGCCACCGACATTCAGTCCCGGCGCCCGGGTCGGTCCGACGCAGCCGGTGCGGCCTCGCAACCTCCTGCCACCCTCCCTCGTCCCCCCGGGAGGCGAGCGGCGGAGGGGACCCTCCCGCAGCCGCTCCTCGCCGGGCCAAGGCGACAGTAACTTTTCGCGGTGCGGCGGGTCCTGCCGCCCCGCGGGCCGGTCGCGCTTCCTCCGGGCCGCCGGGCGGCCCCAGGTAGGGCCGCGCCGCCGCCCTGCTCTCCGCGCCCGGCTCCAGGCAGTTACCGGGGTGGTCCTGAATAATTGATGGCGGGGACCGGGAGGAAGTGACAAGCGGGCAGGGAAGCGCTGCTGCTGCCGCCGCTAAATTATTTAATAGCTGAGCTCCGGGTAGGGCATGACAGCGCTACCGAAGTGCAGCCAGCGGGGCGGGCAGAGCTCTGGCCGGGAAGTCGCATGGGGCGGGATCGAGCCCCTCACCGGTGCCGAGAGGCGAGCGGTCGCCCGGCAGGCAGGCAGGCAGGCAGGCAGTCCCCTCTGTCTCCGATGCAAGGTGCACCGCGCCGCTCCCCGGGGCCGGCGGCGGCGCGGGCGCGTCCTCGGGCGGGGGCCATGCCCGGCGGGCGCCCCGAGGGCCCGCAGCGCCCCCTGCCCGGCCCGGGGGGCGCGGGGGAATGAGCGGCGGCCCCGCGCCGCCGAGCCCTCCCCGCCCGCCCGGCGGCGGAGCGAGACCCGCGTTAAGGTGGACCGAGGGAATCCCTTCTGGTGCGGGGGGCGGGCGGCGGACGGGCGGCGGAGTAGGAGGGGGGGGCGGCGGGCACCCGGAGTGCCCCGACACCCCCCTACTCCGCCTCCCCCGCCGCCCGTCCGCCGCTGGCTCCCGGCGGGGCGCCGCCCTCCCCGCCGTGCCCCCTTAAGAGCTCTGCTTTTTACGGTGGCGCCGGAGGGTCAAAAAAAAGGGGGCTTCGGGGGGGGGGGGTTGATGGGGACCGGAGCCCCCCCGCCCTGGGCACGGCGGGAGCGGGGACCGACGGGAGCATCACGGCCACTGGACAGCCCTGGAGACAGGGTTTCGTTCGCCCCACAAACGCCTGGGGAGGGTCGGGTGGGCAGCAGCGGCTGTCCTGAGCCCGCACGCAGCCGTCCCGGTGCTGCCCCGGGACTAGGAGGAGGGTCAGGTCCCCGCGGGAGAGCGGCCGCCGCCGACCCCGCAGCGCCCCTCCTTCCCTACGGGCGGCACTGACAGCCCGCCGAGCGCTCTGATGTCCCGGTGGGCTCCAGGCCGCCCCCGAAAGCGCTGCCGGGAGAAGCAGAGGATCCCAGGGCAGGGTAAGAGAAATCATCCCTTCGTCCCACACCCGACCTCCGGCCCGGCCCCGAAAAGCAGTCCTGCGGTTTCCCTCGCCTCGGCCGAAGGACTCGTGTCTCTCCCCGCCTCGGCAGGGGCAGGGGGACCCGCCGCCAAAGTGCCAGCCTTGCCCCGGGACAGCAAGCCTTGAACGCGGGTGGGAGCTGGGTCCCACCGCCGGCTGAAGTCTGGGGATCAGGAGAAGATGCGGGGGCCAGCGAAGGCCGGGGGCGGGGGGGCCGCCGCCAGGGCTAGGGCTCCGGGAGCGCTCGGAGGAGCGAGCGCCGGTGCCGGGAACACTCAGGCTGCGGAGCAGAGAGCCAGCGGCTGCCGCCAGCCGCGTCTCCCGCCGTTCCTCTCAGAAAGGAGCCTCAAAGTTTGGAGAACTCTCGGTTTTCTTTTTAAATAACTCCATCTAACTTTTCTCCTTTTTTTTCCCCCCGTCTAAATCTGATAAAGCTCAGCAGCAGCTCTTACATGGAAGTTAGCGTTTTCCACCAGCTATCGAATAATTGAATAATGTTTTGTTCTTACCTTTGATGCTGAACTACGAATTCCCGCGGATCAATGGCCAGAAAGTTAGAAGAATTGGTGATTTAGGACTTCAGTACTTCTGGAAAAAAAAATGCCAATGGTTTAGCCAGGATCTTCCCTGTCTGATTCGTTACTATTATTATATCTGATGATGTGGATGGATGGATGGAGAGATTCAATCCAAGCCCATTAATGAGCTATTTTATAAACACCACCGTCTGAAGATCTTCATTTACATTTTGTCAGTGATCCTTTCCTTAACAGCGGAGACGTGTGGCGACAGCGCGATTACAGGACTTTAGTAAAGCTCCTATAAGAGTACGACTGGTTTGTTAATCGATTAATATTTTATTAAGTGTAAATATTTTATAAAGTTTTTAGGAAAGCTATCGATTCTAAATTATTAAACTAGTCAGAAGGGCATTTGAATAATGCATACAATTAAATACATTTAAATATATATGTAGCGATTGCTTCATTTGCAATGAATCCCCTACACCTTTCTCTTGCTTTCGTTTTTTTCCTCCACGGACAGCTGGTTTCTCATTTGCGCGTTCACTGGAGTATCAGGATGGTCATATATATGTTTATTCCGTATTTATAAACTGAATGTTTACATAAAATACTCTTTGAAAAAATAACATTGAGATCGGGAGCGGTAATAATTTGAAAATTTTGACGCAGAAGCAAAGGGGGTTGTTAGTGAAACAAGGAAACTGAACCGAGTTTGTATAAATTTTGCTGGTTGGTAACTTCTGTTTTGTAAACATCACTTAATTTAGACAGATTTTATGAAGCACGATGCTTATTTTTCTTTTACATATTTTTCCCAATAAAAGCCTTTTCTTTCTGTTTTAAATTACAAACACTTTTTTTCCCTCGTTGCATGATTTTCACATGTTGTCCTTATTTCCACTGGAAAAAAAAGGGCGATTATTTCCCATCGCTTTCCTCATCCGTCTTCAATGTCGCAATTTAAAAAAAAAAGGATTTTTTTACTATTATTAATAACCTGGTTTTTTCCTTACACGAACTCCACTACGAGAATTTTTTGCTCTCGCACTCTGTTGAGAGAAGGAGTGGATGCGTTCCGAGCACCCAGCTCTCCTTGTTGCTGAAGTTCATGGACGCCTTAAGTGGTTGATTGCCAAAAAAAATTTGAACAAAAACACCTCCTTGGAAAGGTTTGGTTTTCATTAACTACGGCTTTTAAAGCCAGAACGCATGGAAGCGATCGCAGCTCCGTGCCCGCACAGGCTCCAGTGGCGGGCGGCTACAGCCGGGGCTGCCGCGGGCCCCCGGGCCGGGGCGGCCCTCGCCCCACGCAGCCGGCCCGAGAGCTGCCCGCCGTGTCTGGCAGGATCCGACGGGCCCCCGGGCGCTCTTTCTCGCCTCCTACTTTGTCTCCCTCCTGCCCAGTGACTTCCCGGGGCCACGGCGCCCGCGGGACGGCAGCCTTCCCACGGGGCACTTCGCCCGGGCCGAACACTACAGTCCTGGGGGACGCCGGCCCGCCGCCCGCCGGCACCGCCTCGGAGCGCGGAGATCCCGGGGTGCTGCGACGGCACAGTGGCCGGTGGGATCGGAGCGGGGCGGCCCCGCAGCACCGGCGGGGCAGCGCAGGATCCCCCCGCGGGGGCGGCGGCCGCAGCAGGCACCGCCAGGGCACCGGGGCAGGCGGAAAGGGGCAGGCGGCTCCCGCAGGCGAGGGCTCCCGTCTTGCCCCTCGGGCCAGGCTTCATCGCGGCGGGACCAGAGCCCGCGGCCGCTCCTGGGGGCCGGGACCACCCGCCTGACCCGTCCCGGCGCCTTCGCCTTCGCACAGCGCCATCGCGCGGGCACCGGCGCCGGCGCAGCCCGAGGCGCCGCTGCTCTCGCCCGCCCGCGGCCCCGGCGGTGCGGGAAGGGCGCAGCACCTGCCGCGGGACCGGGCGGGCCCTGCCGCCACCCTCCACTGCACCCTCAGCCCCGCTGCGGCGCTCCGCCCTGCCCGCCACGTGCCGTCGAGGCTCCGGCACCTGGACGGGGCAGAGCGGTGGCACGGGCAAACCCGCGGCGGGCAGCGCCTGGGGACCGACCTCCTGCCCGGCAGCGTTTTTTTCGCGCTCTCCTCGCGGGCTGGGAAAGGCGCTGGGCAGCCGAGGAGCTGAGCTCCTCTGCGCCTCTGGCATCAAGCTCTCCCTGTCGGGGACGAGCCGTCTAACCTTGCTGCCGTAGGAGGGATTCCCACCCCTCTATACTACCGCGATCCCTCGCTCAGCGCCAGGTTCAGGAGGTGAAGCCAAAACGAAACGAAAATGTCCCTGAGCCCAAGGGCTGGAGGAGCCTGGCCCTGCCCGCAGCACTTAGAGGGGGGAGCTCTGCCTCCAGCCGACAGTGCCGGCGGGACCACGGCGCCGGCCATCGTCCTTTCCCAGCCGCAAGCCACTGCTTTCCCCCGGCAGCCCAAGACTAAACGGGCGGCTGTCCGGAGGGGAGCGCGGTGGCTGCCGGGGTGCCTGGCGAGTCTCCCGGCTCGGCGGCACAGCGCCTCGGCCCCGCGGGAGCCCGCTCTGCCTCCCCTGCGCACCGTCGCCTGCCTCCAGCCCCATCGGGGTCCACGCGTCTCGTTCGTGCTGTGCCAATGGAATAAGTAAAATTAAAAACAACAAACCAAAAGCGTCTTTACGGCGCCTGAGCTCCGACCAAAGCTTTTCGGGACAGCAGTATCCCTGCAGACCTACCCTCGCCTCTATCCTTCCCCTCACTGGTTTTATTAGTAAGTCTTTTGCCGCTAACGCTGGTCGTACGGAGAAAGAGCTGCGGACAATAGAGAGACAATCTCTACAGCCAGACGTATACAGGGAAGGGAACGAGTCGGCCGGAGCTGTTATTGCAACGTATTTCGATGCCCAGAAGGCAGCGCAGCGCCGGCCGAGGCGGGCGCAGGGAGCGGGGCTCACCGGCAGGCCAGGCCGGCTGGGTGCCTGGTGAGGGGCTGAGCTGGCCGCTGCCGGGGTCCTGTTAGGCTCTTTCCTGCCCTCCGGCTCCCCATTGAGTTCTGCCGCTTCCCCGTGTTCCTCACGCAAGTCTCTAGATCTTGGCTTTCCCCCTAGCCACGGGTTGCCTTTCCCCGCAATCACACGCTGCAGTGCTAAACGCAAGGGATTTCCTCCGTGAGATACCATGCTCATCGATCCGCCTCACCTTAACAGATCTGCGAGACTCTTCGGTATTGTATGGCTTCTCTAAAACAGTTCCGTTTAGATTTGTAAACTCTCAGGAGCAGGGAGCACAGACCGAAGCGCCTGTGCCCTGTGACTCTTTTCCTTCGAATTAACAGCTTATGGCTGGAAATGAAGGAAGAGTTTTGCCACCTTCGTTGCAACTAAGGAAAATTCCCTAAATCCGAGGAAGAAGTGACTAACAAGTCCCGAGGTGAAACCCACCACCCGAGAACCAGCTGCAGCTGCTCCTTCACCTCAGCCCACGGCCACTCCAGCGCCGTTTGCCCCGGTCCGGGAGGCGCCCCCCGCTTCCACCTCGAGGTGGCCGCGCCGAGTGGGAAACGAGCGTCCTGCCTGCCGCGCACTGCCTGAGTTGCGGCGTGAACGAATGCGGGAGGGGGTTGCAGCAGCGAGTCGCCCCCCTCGGCCCGGGAGCCAGCCCAGCGCCTGCCTTTACATCCCAAACGTGTCTACGGGGCGCGGGATGCCGGGGCAGCCCGCTCTTCCTTTCCAACCGCGCTCTCGCCTAGGGTGAGAGCGAGTGACGGCGGAGCTCAGCAGGACATGCCGAGCATGTAAGGCTGAGGACTCATACCCCGAGGCATGGATCGTTTTAATTACAACGATTTATGTAAATTAGCAAGATATCAGCCCTTCTGCCTGCCAGGCTCCGACCTGGAAGCACAGCATCACCCGCCCACGTTGGACACCATCCCCTCCCAAGCGCTCTCCAAGTTCCTATGGTCGGCGGAGGCCAGATGGGAGTAAAGACCCCAACAGAACGGGGAGGACAGAGTCTATTCCGAGCGCCCGCCCCGTGAGCTTCCCAACGAGCAGCTCTCAACCTCAGCTCCCCCGCGCTCATTGCCCAGGGTGGCAGTGCTCATTAGGGAGCACTGTGCCACGAAAGTGCCATTTTCGTCCTAAATCCAAACTTTGCCTCTTAACACACACTCTCATCTTCGTACGCAAACCGCCCGTGTTAATTAAACCTCCAGTAAATGTGTAGGGAGAACCCTCCGCTCTGCCACACAAGGCAGCAGATGCCGCCGGCTCCTGCCACGCGAAATGGTGCTCAGGGAGCAGAGCCGTGGCAGGATCTCATGGGGGCCCAGTGCCGGCCCCCACCTCCCGCCCTCGCTGAAGGCAGAGGCAGGTCAGCCTGTGACAGAACTGAGCCCGGTCGGCAGCTGAGGGTGCCCGGCTGGGGATCTATAGTTTTCGTTGCAAATAACCGAAGGCTGCTGATCTGCCCAGAGAAAAGGGACAGATAGCGCAGGGGATTTCGAGTGAAGATAAACAAGAGGAGTTTTATTAAACTGTGAAGGCTGAAAACGCCGTTGAACAGAACGAGGAAACGCACCCTAATACACATGAGTCACAAACATCCCACAGCCCGACTCCAGCAAGCAGAGGCAGCTCAGAGCCTCCTGGCCGCGCCACGAACAGGGCTTGTCCCTGGCGAAATCATCGCAGTTGGAAAGCTGCGAGAAGCTGACCGGGTAACGCTCAGGGTTTTTAGGCTTTCGCAAACCCTGTACTGGTACCGAAGGGGCTCAGCAGGGAGCTTTTTGCAGAGGGGTCACACATGGAGCCGTAGGGCAGGAAAAGGCCAAATCCTATCGCTTTTCCTCCTGCAAACAATCCTATCGTCTTTTTCCCGCGATTTCCAAACTTTGACAGCCGATATGCACAAACACAAAGAGTTTCGGAGCTTGAGTTGGTACTTGGCCCGCGAAAGGGCCCCTGCCGGGTCCAGGTCTGCCTGCCCGCTCTCAGCACCTTCAAGAGTGGCCAAAAGGTGACCCGCTGCCCGAGGCAGCCCCGGTAGCCTTGCGGAGGCGGCATCCTTCAACCTGGACGTGGCTTGACCGAACTAGGCAGATGCCTACCCGGGAGATGCCGGGGCACTGGGGACCTGGGGGCACTGCCCTGAGCCTGCTCGCCCTCTGCTCGCTGGGCTCCGCAGAGTTGGCCCCCCTCTGCTTCCACAGCCTCCGACGACGCTGTCTCCGTACCACCCCCGCCCCGCTCCCAAGCGGCAAGCAGGGCGCGGAGCGGGCCGGCAGCAAGTGCCCGGTCGCCGGCGGGGCTGCCACCTCCCAGCCCCGTAGTGCGGGCGCAGCCGCCGCCGCCGCGGCCCCGGTGGCTGCGCGGCCGCCGTGCCCGTGAACCGCTGCACTTCTGCCCCGGGAAGAACCCTTCAGCCACACCGCCCCTGCGGTGTGACACGGTTAGTTCCTGCTGGCCAGCGTTTCGCTGGGAGCCAGAGGCACTCCCGTCTCTCAGCCGAACGGGCCCGGACCGCTACCCCACGCCCCCGCAGCCTCCCCACCCCACGAAAGACGAAACGCTCGAAGATCTCTGCTCTTCGTCAACGCAACGGAGTATCTGACAGTCACAATTACCTGTAAATATTCTGACCGTTTTTGTATACGGGACACTTTTAGCCTTAAGCCTGGCAAGCCTCACACGAGCAGAACTGCACCACTACCGCGACTTCATCGCGGCAGACGGCAAAAATCCGCGCTCCGCTTTCGGCACTAAGTGCGATCCTCCCCAGCACCACAGAGCCCAGGAGTGGGAGAGATAGCTACCGCTTCCTTCTCTCGGCACTCTGAAGAGCAACATCTAAACACTCGATTTAAACATTTAGGCAAGAATTCAAATCAGTCACGGAAAAAAAGGGTTATCTGTTAACAAGTTACCCTTTCGGTTCACACACGGGCAGATAAGGTGCCAGATTTTCTAAAATATTTGCAGCAGCAGTTTAAGAAATAATCACGAGATCTGAGATGGTCACTACTAGATAAAACTCCACGATTTCATAATCGGTCTTCCCATTTTTTTACGTCAACCTCTCCCTGCCCGACCCATCACATCACAAAAATTAGTGGAATTACCTGTCTGCTTCTTTGTGCCTCCTTCAAGTAAAGAAGGTAAAAGTCACTTCACCTATTAGCTCGTATAAGTAATAAAGAGGTGGCAACTTGGAGCTACCACATTTTGAAGATTGTGTCACATGCTTTAGCATAAGTAAGGGTGTTAGAGCCCTAGCGAGCACAGGATCAATTCGTTTGTGCAACAACTTGTGGCGCGTTTGGTTCTTAGCAGGTATTTTTTCTGTCCCTGGGAACAGCTCTGTACATCCTACCTCGCTAAGACGGACATACAACAGCCTCTCAGTTTCTGCGCGCGTTTACCGAGAGGAAAAGCAGTTTGTCAGCGCCTTGACTCTGTATCAACCTATTATGAACCAGATACGACAGGATTTCTCGGGCTGCAGCATCTTCCTCGGCAGCGAGGATAAGTCGGAGGTGCAGCGGCTCCCGTGAGTGCGCTCACTCAGGAGGGGGTCGAGGCATGCGGCTTCAGTCTTCCCTACACAACAGGGAGGAATTTGCCCCACTTTCTCAAAGTTTCTGAGCCCTGGACTTTTTCTAAGCCTCTTGTAAGAGAGGGGCTGTTCAAGAGCCCGACCACCCTGCCGGCCAGCTCACAGAGCTGCCTCGATCCCACTGAGGGGCCGCGAGCGGAGCGCACGCCTCGGAGGGGTGAGCTGACGGCTCCCCGCACCCCGGCGGCTCCAGCCTCCACCCCTGCTTGATCCGCTCCCAGGAGCTCTGGCACTCGGTCGGGCGAGTCCCAAGCCCAACGGGCTCCTTGCCAGCCCGGCGGCGAGACAGGCAGCGGTACCTCTCCGGGCAGTCACTGATGCCCGTGCTGGTGGTAGCCCACAGCCCTGCTGGCTTGCCGCACTGAAAAGGGAGGGGACACTGAGCTTCCTCAGTCGCTGACAGGGAAGCCCCCATGCAGGTGGAGCCGAGCTCCAACTTCTACGGGATGGGGAGAGAACGGACCTGCTCCTGCTACCCCGGGAGGGAAGTGTCAGCAACATCCAGGCTTTGAGACTTTTGGTCTCAGCGACTCTCGGCGCCACTGCCGCGACACGACTGTCCGCGGGA